GGGGGAGGGTGCAATCCCATGATCCCTGACACACTTGGTAGCCCATTAGAGGGCTCCAAAGTCTCCGAAGAACCTCCCTTCCCATTCCAAACCAAAAGCCGCCCTTGATGATCCGGAAGCACTTCAACAGTCCAGCAGAGGCGCTTCCACAGGAAGTAGCTTGAGCAGTCGATTGCGCCTCGCAGTCTGAGAGGCACTTCGAGGGCTCGGACACCTAGTCCGGCTCTCCGTGAATTCAACCTTTCGGACTTCTCCAAACCGCTTTCGAGTTGCGGAGAAGTACTCTCGCCATCTCTACGACTCTTGAAAGGCGGCAGGAAAACTTCCTAAGCTGCGGAACAGCGACATTTCCAGTACCACCCGAGAGGCCCTGAGGTAAGATCCCCTGACAAACACAACTGCCCCGGGAACTCAATGACGTGGTTTGGACGGGGCAGGGGGTCCCAAGTGCCTGAAAATCCCCTCATTTTGGTAGTGGGGACTGAACGTTAAAAAAGGAGAAATTTGTGGACCGTGTGGAGGTTTGCCTAGGGCTCATTCAGCCACTGAATTCTTCCTCCCCTCTTCCCTCAGGCCCAAGTGTGGTTGGAACAGCCTCGCTGACCCTAAGAGGGTTCTTTAGTCCGTGGGATCCCTGTGCGCTGTGCCTCTCTGCGCTGTGACGTTGTGTGCCACTGCGCCGCTAGTCTGTGGGATCCGCGGGGCCGCGGGGTCGCTGTGTCTCTGCGCCGCTCTGCCGCTCTGCGTGCCGCGCGCCCGTTTCTAAAAGATGGCTTCTGGAGAGGGCGCCTATCGCCGCAATTACAAAAAGAGTTCCTACTACTACAGGAACTCTAAATTTGCAGCTGAAGCTGAGGGCCAAAGTAAAAATGAGGAACCAAAGTTCGCAAAGTGTGATGGGCTTGAAGAGCAAGGCCCTTCAAAGTTTTGCCAGGGCTTCCCGGGAAAAGAAAAGGGGTGGAATGCCCTGGATGCGAAGCCAAGACGGGCACACGGTCGTCGAATGCCAGCCAGGAATACTCCCTTCCATCCTCCGAAACAGCCATCCCCAGAGATGAGCAGCCCAGCTGAGAGAAATGTGGTTGTATCTCCTGGTAAAATGCTCAATGAGAAGCCATTTGGCAACCAAAGAACATTCTGCGAAAAATGCACTTCAGCCCTACAATTTCTGGATGTTGATGACCTCAACTCATTAATCCTAAAGCTTAAGGAAAAGGTCGTGCTCGAGCACCCTTCTTCAAGAAGGTATTGGCATGATATTGAAGAGACTGCCACAGTCAGAATCTCTCAGGAGGAGCTATGCTCCGAGAGTCTCCCAGTAGTTTCACAGCCTTCACCTCACCAGAATGACTATGGCATTCAACAGCCTAATTTGTACTACAGCCCTTGGAATGACTACACCAGCTCTTGGGTCAGCAGTCTCAGGCATCCGTCCTGTTTTCCCACTGACGGTGGTGACAGCAGCACCACTACCACATTCCAGGCTGAGAGCGGCAGCAAGAATCACGTGGAGACTTATACCTACTCTGCAGTTCTTTCCCAAAATATATCCAGAAAGCTGAAGGTGACAGAAGAGAAATCCAAGAACTCTGGATCATTTCATTTCTCCAGAAATTTAGAAGCAGCCTCAACGGTGAAAACGTATCAAGAGGAGAAGTTGCAACCCCATGGAGCACATGCATCTGGCTTCCAGCAACGCAGTCACCAGCAGTCATACCAAGCAGAGGGTTTCATTGATTCCCACTGTCACTTGGACCTTCTGTATTCCAAGTTGTCTTTCCAAGGGACCTTTTCCAAATTCAGAAAAGTTTACGGCAGTTCTTTCCCTAAGGAATTTCAGGGCTGCATCTCTGATTTCTGTGATCCTCGTACCCTAAAATATGGCCTATGGGAAGAGCTATTGAAAGACGATCTGATCTGGGGGGCCTTTGGCTGTCACCCTCATTTTGCACGCTACTACGATGACTATCAAGAAAGAAATGTCTTGCAAGCCTTACGGCACCCGAAGGCTGTGGCATATGGAGAAATAGGCTTGGATTACTCTTACAAGTGCACCACACCTATCCCGGAGCAGTTCGAGGTATTTGAGAGACAACTGGAGCTGGCTGTATCTCTCAACCTCCCATTGCTGATCCACTGCCGAGATGCTGATAAAGATCTACTGAGAATCTTAAAGAAAGCTGTGCCCCCTGATTACAAGATCCACAGGCATTGCTTCACTGGCAGTTACTCCGTCATTGAGCCCCTGCTGAAGCATTTCCCCAACCTGTATGTGGGCTTCACAGCAATCCTAACTTACAATTCTGCCTGGCAGGCCAAAGAAGCTCTGAAAAAGATCCCACTGGAAAGAATTCTCGTTGAAACCGATGCTCCGTACTTTCTCCCTCGTCAGTTTCCTAGAAGCGTCTGCCGGTATTCCCACCCAGGTCTGGCCCTGTATACTGTGCAAGAGATCGCCAGAATCAAGAATGAGCCGCTTTCCCATGTCTTAGTCACTCTGCATGAGAATACCCGTCGCCTCTACAATCTTTAATCCAAAAGGACACAGTCAGGAGTCTTCAAAAAAAGGGAGACCAGCAGCCTGACAAAATACAGACTGAGCTCTGCCTGTGTCCCCTGTCAACGATACATTCAAGATTCCATGGAAAGAGAAAAAAAGGTATCTTCCCAAAAACGTCTTCATAAGACTTCTGCTTCTGGCTGGTAGGACTGGGTACACTGCGATGGGAGGAGGGCTTAAGGAGAACAGCCCTTGCTGTTTTTAAGGTTCTACCTTCAGCCAAAATGCTAGATAGTAAATAAGAAAGAGTTCTCTGCAGCCTATTTTTGAGCAGTTGGTGAAAAAAAAATCACTCTCTGGCTTTTTTCTTTTCCTAAAGTAATGTTAAACTTTAAAAGTGAGGTGATTTGTTGTTTATTCTCAAAGTGTGTGTTACAGGAATTTAATAATCCATACTTTGTTGTCAAATTCATAAATTTAGTGGTTATTCAAGTTAAGGTTTCTTATTTCTAAAGACAAATAAAATTAGCATTTCATATAAAGGGAAATTAATTTAGACAAAGAAAATTTAGCTAATAGTTATGACAAGGCAAGGAGGCTGTGGAGGCTCTTACAGCCAGGGATGGTGGAGTCTTCTCCACTGAGATGAGTCTTGAATCTGAACTCCTAAGGTGTGTAAATTAGTGTATAATAGCATCTGTTCACTGAAACTGCTGATTCTTAAAGTTCAAATGTATAGCACTTAGAAATACTATTCTTCAGAAGGACTTCGAAAGCATCCACAGGACAAAAACTGAAATACTTCAGCTGTCCACTTGGCTAACAGCAGTCTTCCCTGAGAATATGACTCACATTTTGGGAAAACCATTTGAGTTAACTTTGGGAGCCAAAGCACACACCTAAATCCGAAGTCCCAGTACCAGATGAGACATGCATGTCATTTTAAAAATGCAAAATCTGACTCTTGAGAACTGAATCCTTGGAATCGGAGTACTACAGACTTCTCTGGTTCCTCTGCATTCATTTAACTGGATCCAGAAAAATCAGCTGGCTCCTCGCCGTTTATCGTTCACAGCTCAGAAGTCACTTCCACAGAGAAGCCCCCTGTGGCCACCAATCTGGGAGATAAAAGACCCGCTGACTCTGTTCTGTTTTGATCTTAGCACTTAGCCTGTAGCTGAGTTACTGTTGTTAACTTATTCGTTATGTTCACTGGTTATCTTCCCCCTACTAGGCTGTAATTTAGCAGCTCATCAGCCTTATTCAGCACTTAATCCTTGATGTTAGACTAGTGCCTGGAACACAACAGGCAGCAAAAGATTTCTTGACTTTGTATGACTTCATTAATACCTGGGAGGTTAATAACAATACTAGGAGAGAGGGCAGTACTAGGAAGGAAATATGAGAAATAAGCCATCATATTTCCAACACCCCTCTAATGCAAAAGCCAAGGCAAATATTAAAGGCATGCTATCTATATAGCATATAGGTGTCACACATGATGAAAAGAAAGTCAAACCTTACTAGGAAATTGACAGTTTGTTTTTCCTATACATAAAACTGAGTTTATCATAGATTTCCCCTTTGTTGAGGATAAGGTCTTTTGAGAAAGAAGTTTAGATGTTAAAAAAAAAACCATAATGCTTCATTTCTCTTTATTAAAACAGAAGTTTACTGCAGAGAAGGTATATGATTTGTGCTCACTTCAGCAGCACGTATACTAAAATTGGAGAAGGTATGATTTGATGATAGTTTTCTTTTCCTTTCTTTGGTACTGGAGGCTAAACTAGGGACCTTGCACTTGCAAGGCAGCAGGACCACTGGGGCTAAATCCCCGGCCTAGATAGTTTTCAAGACAAACCTGGAAACACTAAGCCAGTGTTTTAAGATTAAATTTTTTGACGTAATAGACCCTTTAAAACAGACATTGCTTAAAGTGTGGCCTGCAACACACAGGCGCCCTAAGCTTGTTTTACACAATGGTAGAAAACAGGGCTCCACACACACATTTTAGGCAAGTACTAAATTGTACAAAGTTCTGCAAGCTTTTTTCTTAATTATAGGGTCTCACATATCCTTTGATCTACCAGTAACATTATAAGGACCCCAAAAGATGTTTCTCAGTACTGATGACATAATAGGGGGAATACCAGCAACTCCTGATTATAATGCCCTGACCACATTTCATGTAGTGGCATTTAACTATGCCTGCCAAAATGGCATTGCCAGGTAGACATTTCAAAGGTGAGTGTGAATTAAACAATTGTATTTAGGGCAGGGGATGTGGCTCAGTAGTAGTGCATTCGCCTAGAATATGCTAGACCTTCAATTAGATCCCCGGCATAACACACACACAAGCAGAAAAAAACCTTGCATTTATAAGTACACATTCAACAAGATAAACAGGATCTACACATACAATGAAAGTACTTTTCCTTCAAAAAAATATTTTTATATAGGAAAAATGCTTTTCTAACCTACTCTCTCCCTGCATATTTTATGGCAAATATTTGAACTACATATACTGCACTGTCTCTGACATACAGAAGAATAACTTGCCATAATTTAACTTTCTTTAGAAATGGGAGGAAGCAATGCAGTCCTATCTGCATGGCTTAATCTAAAAGTCACAATCTTCATTTACTTATTTCATGAATAGGGCAGACAACACTTCACCTATTCACATTACTAACAAAGAAATATTGCAATGCAAATATGCAAAATTTGAGGCACTTTGTAAATAGTTTTTTCCTTAAGTGATAGATATTCCATTGAAACTTATTAATTATTATTATAATTTGGGGGGGTACCCGGGATTGAACTCCGGACCTTGCACTTGTGAGGGAGGCAGCGGAACCACTTAGCTAAGTCCCCAGCCCCTATTATGAGAATTTTGTGGGGGTTCTGGGGCTCCAACTCAGGACCTTGAGCTTGTGAGCCAGGTGGTGGAACCACTGAGGTAAATCCCCAGCCCTTACTAGGATTATTAATTACCACTTATCTGTTTGTGTGGCCCTTGGTGTGTCAACTTTCCTTTTATCAAAGTCTTGATGGCAGCTGGTGATCTAGAAAGTCACTTTGCCATTAATGGTCCTGAGGCCACTAGTTAAAAGTCACCAGGCTCTCAAGGCTATTACCAGCCTCTGCTTTACTTAAATTTTTTTTTTTTTTGGTACCGGGGATCGAACTCGGGTCCTTTCTCTTTTACTTAAATTTTAGAAAGGTAGGATTGAGTACTGCTCACTGAAAGAGTGCACACTTAGCATGTAGAAAGCTCTGGATTCCATCCCATGCACTTAAAAAAAAACAGCAGTTTCTACCTTTAAAATTCAAAAGTTTATCTTGCTGGGCATGGTGGCAGATGCCTGTAATCTCAGCAATTGGGAGGCTGAGGCAGGAGAGCTACCACAAGTTCGAGGCCAGCCTGAACTAAATAGCTATACTGTCTCAAAATAAAAAATATCTGCTGGGGATTTAGTTCAGTGGCTCCACCGCCTGCCTCGCAAGTGCAAGGTCTCGAGTTCGATTCCCTACACCAAAAAAAAATTTTTTTTTTATTTTGTCTTAAAACAGAAGGATTTTATTTTCACATTTTGTCTTTATGCATATTTAACTTCAAAATTGACACCTGCTTTGTAAAGAATTTTTGGGGTGTTTGTTTTGTTTTTTTGTTTTTGTTTTTTTGAGACAGGGTCTCACAGTATCGTTAAGGCTGACCTGCAACTCACTGTGCAGCCCAGGCTGGTCTCGAATTCACAGGGATCCTCCTGCCTCAGCCTCCCAATGCTGGGATTACAGGTGTGCACCACCACATCTGGCCTAGTGCAGAATTTTTGACACACTTAAAAAGAAAGAAGTGGGGGAATAGTGCATAATTGAGCCACTTAGAGACAATCACTTTAACATTTGGAGTAGCACTTAGGCAGTTGTCTCTAATATTTCCATAGTCATTTATCAATTCCAGCATTGTGTTCCTTCAAATTTGATAATTAATATTTACTATAGCATTCACAAGTAGCATAAGTGTGTACGTTTTACTTCTGAATTTGTGATTTACATACGTAGTTTTATTTTCCTGAACAAGGTGCATTTGTAAATTCTGTTTGCGTTAAACAATCAACTTTGAAACTCCTTGTGCTTAGCTTAGTTCAAATATATTCTGTATACCGCTTTATAAGCTTGAGCTTTTAGTTATTAATATTTTTTTCTTTCTGCTTTATTGTGCTTTTTTTCTAATGTCTTAAACAAAACACTTTATTTACTTTTAATTGGGGGAGAAGCATTTAATACCATAAATTTGTAACTCTGCTGAATACATAGAATATCTTGATAAAAATTTAATTTCCTTCCTATAAAATTAATACATATGCATTATAAAAATATGCAAATGGCAATATAACGAAGCATGGGATATTTCTATTATCTAGAACTCACTGTTGATAACTTCCCTTTATATAATTTGATCATACAGCTATGACAAATTGCATATTTTTAAATAATTCACATTTTTGTAATTATAAAACTCATACTTAAATGAAGATTTATATGCCACGAAAATCTCAAAAAAAGCTAATATAAAATGTCAATGTTCTAGTGTATTTTTACTTATAGCCATTTTTCAACAGTTAAAAATACAAAACTTGCATGTTTATTCATCAGCAGAGTTAAATGAAGAACATTTACAGGTTTTTCCTCCCGATTGAGAGATAATTTAACCTTATGCTTTGTAAATTTTTAATTTTGAGTCTGTTTTAATTCTAAAGATTACTTACTGAAACTAACTTGAATAAAGTAACATGTTTTTCTTTTATCTGTCCTTAGTTTGCATTTAAGGTCCCTTTTATTATTGTTGTTAATTATTTTATCTTTCAATAAATACTGAATATGTTTACATTTTGTTTTGAACTTTACTTACATTTCACAAGGATCTACTGTATGTTTCATTCCACTGCTCTCCGCTAGTCCTTTGGTTTCATGACTTCTCCCTGGTTGAACTGCTTAATTTATTTCTTAATTAGCTGAAATATACCTTCAAGCAATTTTCTCAGGAAAAGTATGTGGATGGCATGGTTATGGTAAACTATATAACTGAGGTAATTTTTTACTGTTTTCACGAATTAATAAACACACTGGTGGACCGGGGGTTTGGTTCAGTGGTTCTGCCACCTGCCTCCCAGTGGCAAGGTCCTGAGTTTGATCCCCGGGATCCAAAAATAAATAAACACATTGGTGAGTTTAGAATTTCTGGGTCATAAACTTGGTCCTCTAAAAGTCTGTGCTGTGTCTCCTGGTGTCTGCTATGGTACTGCAACTTC